CCCCAAAACCCCAAAACCCCAAAACCCCAAAACCCCAAATAAATTTTGAGCTATTGAAAAAACTATCAAATTTGGCAAATATAATATTATTCCAAAATATGCTAGGGTTTATAGATTACATCACCTCAAAGCTCTCAAAAGTTATGAAATGTGTTGACTACAGCTGGGAGACCATTCTTGGATTCATGGGTATCCTAATACTTTTGAGTATATTCATATAACTTCTCTGTACACTGCGATTAAATACATCATTTTTGAACGTTCGATACTTTACGTGGGCATTCCGTCATTTTTCGTGGCACTGAGCTGATTCCCATTATACAATTATCAATGGAAGAGATATAAAACAATGATGATTGTTCAACATAAAGTAAGAGTAAACTTTCCAATTCTTCATAAAATCTTTTTCTTGAGCTCTATAGACCCTATTGTGAAAAAGATAAAGGGTCTTGGTATCTTTCTTCTGACTCTCTTGTTCATTTCTTACTTCTTTATTCTTATTGTAGTGCTATTTTTCGTGAATACTCTTGAAACTTCTGATATAAATACAAAGAATGCTAGGAGAGCTCCTCCTTCGACTAGGAACTTGGAAAAAGAGGCTATAGAGACGAGAGAACCAAATAGCGCATATGTGATCCCTTTTGTACTATCCTTCTTGCTGATAACATATTGGATTAACAAAATAATAATTTCTCTATTCTTCTGGAGTATAGTACTTTTTATCCTTTTTATTCTCTTCCTATTTTATTCTGTTATCTACTGTATTTATCAGAAAGAGATTCGTCAAAGAGAAGAAGAGCAGAGACAGAGGGCTATTCAGAACAGATATGCTGTAAATTCAGAAAGCATTTCAAATGATAGCCCTGATGAGGAGAGTAAGGAGGACTCTTCTTCTAGTGAGTCCTTTTCTTCATCTGAGTCCAGCAGTATTATTAACCAAGTTATCAGATCTATGAAGAAGACATTTTCGATGAAAAAATCTAAGAAAAAGGATGGTCTTGGATGATCGATCTGTTACGAAAACTTCAAAGATAAGGAGACGATTATCCAGTTAAAATGCAACTCTTTACATACTTTCCATGAAGCTTGCTTTCACTCCTGGGCGAGGAGGAATGACACCTGCCCATTGTGTAGACAATCTATCATTCCCCAATAAGGAGGGCTGATATTATAACTGTTTAGTTTCTAAATAGGTTTCTGTCATTTTTGTTCATTCTCAATTAACTTGTAATTATGCGGGGTTTTGGGGTTTTGGGGTTTTGGGGTTTTGGGGTTTTGGGG